GATGATGATGATGATTATTGGAATTTTTCGACTCTCGAAATTCTTTGTCACAAACAAAATGACATTCTCATCTCTGAAACTCTAAACAGCATGTCCTTGTTACAAAAGATACTCGCAGAAATCAGTTCTGAGGGCCAAGCACGAATAACTATCGCATTCGTATCGTAATAGTACCGAGCGAGTTAAGCGTTCTGATTGGTTGGTTCACTTGAGCCGGCCAATCAGAGCGCCGAATGCGCTCGATACTATTACGTTACGAATGCTATAGTTATTCGTGCTTGGCACTCTGAAGACAAAAAAGGTGGACGTAATATTACTTAGAAATGATTGAAGCACCAAACTGTCAGTGATGTATTCATGTGTGCGTGTACTTGCAACACCGTAATGTGTGAAGTGTAACGACGGCCATGTCACGCGACAGATGTCCTTCGTGTCAATGTGTGTGTATTCTGCGCGTAAGTCTATAGTAGCCAGGTGCCACAGTCGTTGTTAGAGGAGACTATGTCCGCCTCTTTTTCAACGTCATTTGTCATAAAGTGATAAAGAGAACTTCGTTGACTTTAATATTTTTATGTGTAAAACACAATTTATGTTTGCTAAATAAATTGTTACGGTAGTAATTTAAAAAAATGCATTTTTAAATAACTGATTCATTATTTATGAACTTTTAATTTATTTATTAATTTATTTAAAGTGTGAATGTAATTTATTGGAATGATTGTCGTGTGCCTTAATTAGTTATTTTTAATTTTGTTTTATAAAAAATAAATTAATTTTGTAAATTTATAAACAGTATATCTGTTTATACCACCGTAATCTATTTAAGAAGTCTTTCTTAGTATTGTAGATCAAAGATTTCTTTAAAAATATACAATTAATAATAACAAAATATCTTCGCTAACCCACTTTTGTAAATTAGGTTTATTTATTTCATAATGTTGATATTTTAATTTATTACTAACAAATAATTTTAAAACTCTAATATGCGCATACACATCGAACATTTCAAATCTAGCCAATCACAACGCTAGTATTTTCAAAATGGCCGCTCGTACGATGATGCACATATTACAGAAATTAAATGCTATATAAGACATTGTGGTTGGTTTAATGAACGAAAATACCTTATATTTAATAAAAAAAAATGTTTATGACTACTACTATTTAAAAAAAATATTGTTATTTTATTATGAAAGTAGGAATAATAATACTTTTCTCGGATTTGTACATTATTAATAAATGTATTACCTAAAGAAAATAAATGTCTACTCGTCACTTTTACACAGAAAAGGGCGAGATTTGTATATACCTATACCTAGGTACCTATAACCTAGGTATTTTATGCAATTACATGTTTAACTTTATTATGTACAGTGGCCAACAGATCAAGCTACTGCAATCTGTTAAATTTATTCATTTGATTTTCGACTTTATATCAATACAATAAAGTTGAAGATGTTTGATAGAAAAGGATAGGATGACCTGCTGGTCACGGTACCTACCTACCTATGTTTGTGTTGAAATGGTGTTGTGTTTACTATTTATTGTTATAGTCATAATCAAATAAATTGTAGATTGAAAATAAACATTGTTGATCATAAATGTTGTGTATAATTTAGCCTGACCGGGAATGGAACTCGAAATCCTTTAAACTAGGTGGTCATAATCGGTAGTTGCTGTAAAAATATATTTCTCCTTACTTCTATTATGAGTTCTAAAATGAATCTCCCAGTTCACTATTGCACATCTCTACATAAGAAGAACTTGCATTAATCTCCACGCTTAACTACTGGGTGGAGGTAGGCTGATGCCGATACGAAGCCGTGCTTAACGCCAAATGATATCCGTCGTAATAATTTTCATTTCCGAAATGTGTTAGAAAGAGACTGTTCTGTTCAGCTTAGCTTCAAATTCCGTCGCGGAGAACCTAACGGGTAACCGGGGCTCCGGCTCGACGTGCAGGAGAAGGAACGGGGTGGTTTTGTCAGTAAGAGTCTAACACTACCTCCCTCCTCACCGCCTCGCCGCCTAGGTAGGCGGGAGAAGAAACTACGACGATTTTCCCCCTTAAAAAAAACTGGATTGGCGATCGCAATTTAAATGGTTCAGGATAATCACAGAGCGGCCTTGCCCGATCTTTTTTATGTGACATACCCAAATACAAGGTAATAAGTGCGCTACCAGCCTTTAGGGGATTAATCATTCATTTGGATTAAACATCACTCACACTGTCAAAGGCGTTGTTTCACGTCGCTTTTTTGTAAGGCCATGGTATCACTCCGGTCGAACCGGCCCATTCGTGCCGCAGCATGGCTCTCCCACACTTAAATTAGTAACTCAAAATGCACAAGCTTACTGATTAAATCGTATCTTAATCCTAAATGATTACTTAAGAGGAAAGGGGGCTCTTTCCGTAATTCCAGGAATAATTAAAGGTCCCATAAATGTGTGATGAAGGCAATAATTTCCGGATTATGATATACCTACTCGCAGAAGCTTGAAAAGACTGTAATGAACGTTCAGGATTAACTTTAAAATATGAACATTTGGTTGGGAACATATTCGGAGTAATACGTTGTTGATCGAAATTTTAATTTTAATTAAATACATACTTGAGTAGGTACCTATTTTGTTTTTTTTTCTAAGAGTACCAGGCAATGGTTATTATCTAAATGCTACATTCTATAAAATTTAAATTACAATTTGAAATGGTTTTGTTTGATTTGACTGCACGGTTGGTGCGGTGGCTGGGCAACCGGCTGTCGTGCAGCGAGCCGCGGGTTCGATTCCCGCACGGAACAACACTTAGTGTGATCCACAAATTGTTGTTTCGGGTCTGGGTGTAATGTGTATGTGAAATTGTATGTTTGTATACGCACCCACGACACGGGAGTAAATCCTAGTGAGGGGCAACGTTTTTAAAAAAAATGTTTTCGGCTTACTCACATAATTATTTGACGTGGAACTCGACTAGTTTCAAGCCATGCTAGAGGCTCATGGTTTTGTTTTGCATCTGATGATTATTGTCTATTATTTACGTACCTACATTTAGGCCAACATAATATACGGTTTTATTCTGTTTTTTTTCCTTATCCTAATAGGATTTTTGAAACCGTAAATATAACCGACTAGCAGCCCATCCCGCCTTCGGACGGGGTAAACATTAATTATTTTTGGAAATTTGGATTGTTATAGTGACATAACTACAATAGTTGGACATATGCTATCGCGGAAATTTTTGTAGACATTATGATGTTCTCCAATATTGTTGCACATTATTTTGTTCTATCGCTAATAGTTTCGGCAGCGCATTCGACGAAAGACATTTTAAGACTCATTTTTCTACACCTTCGGTTACATTGTTCAAACTTTACCAATGATCCCTAATTTTTTCAAAATAAAATGTAGCCTATGTCAAATTGGAAGAATGTAGCATTCTATTAGTGTAAGAATTTTTTAAATCGGCCCAGTACTTTTTGAGCCTATTCATTACAAACATACAAACATACAAAAATAGGTACAAATCTTTCCTCTTATAGATTTAGATAATACTTCACTTTATAGTATAAAACAAAGTCGCTATACGCCGTCTGTCTGTCCCTATGTATGCTTAGATCTTTAAAACTACGCAACGGATTTTATTGCGGTTTTTTTTAATAGATAGAGTGATTCTTAAAGAAGGTTTATGTGTATAATACATGCATATTGCGGCCGTGCGAAGCCGGGGCGGATCGCTAGTTTATTATAAATGTGAAATTTTGCATATTTGTCACTGAAATATTAAAAAACTACTTACTTCTTTATTATATCTATGATATTAGTTTTGTTTATTACTCTTTCACATCGATACAGCTGAAGCGATCGGGATGAAATTTAGTACAGATGGTGATTATGGTCTAAAATAACTCATGAGCTACTTTTTTGCCCACGGGAAAGTGGATGAACCCGCAGACAAAAGTTAATTTGTTCATAATACAAGGTGTTGTTTTAAAGCCACGTCATTTTCTAGGAGGTAACTCAGCTATCGATTCTGAGTCCGAATAAATAAAAAAATTGTAGTTAAATATTTTTCATTTTTCTGCAATTACGGAAATGCGAACTACACGCCGCCGTCTTGTAACTAGCGTTATAACGCGGCTAAACACACACAAACTCAAACACGTAATTGATATTGTTCCTAATTCCATAAAACTCCAATAAGAAACATTGCTGTCGCTTATTCTGAAATACTGTCGAACTTAAACTATTTATTATAGCTTTTTTAACGATTGGCCCGAAATTTTCTTTTAAATTGAACCTTTATGACTTCTGTGACATGCCCCCGAGAAATGACAAGGTTTCCAAACTACACCTTGTATATCTGTACAAAAGTATCACAATAAATACGAAAAAAGACTCGTACACACATAATTTAAATTAATGATATATTTTAATAAGAATTACCTTTCTTAAAACATTTCGTTCACCACAACAACGAAACAATGGACGCTGAATTGTTAAAATTAATAGTTGACCCTTGGATGAAACAGGGCTTCATCCCTTCAATACGAAAACAAACATGGCTGAAATTAATAATATCTTATTCAAATATTACCTTCATACAACACTATACTGATATAATTTAATAAATACTACAGACCTTCGTTGTAAGTCAATTTGTATTAATGTTATTATACTGGTGGAGATTCTGGTTGTCTGTTTGTCTCAGTGATATCTTAAATATCAAAATCTCAG